GCCCCAGGCGCGGCCCGGCCCCGCGGCCCGGCCGGCGGAGCCCCCGCCGCTCCGGGCACCGGCCCGCACTTACTCTCCGTCACCCGGCACAGCCCCAGGACGTGCTCGGGCCGGACGGTCTCCAGCGCCAGCAACTCGGACTCGGTCCAGGGCTGCCGCGGCGGCGCATCGGCCGATCCGCGCCGGCCCCGCAGGCGGCTGAGCGGCCCCGCGGAGCCCGGCGGCAGCTTCTTGTCCGGCCCCGGCGCCGCCGCCGCCGCCCGCGCCCTGGAGCCGCTCATGGCCGCTGCCAAGATGGCCGCCGCCCGCCTCGGTAGCTATGGGAGCGCGGGGCGGGGCGGGGGCCGTTGCCAGGCAACGCCGCGCCCGAAGCTCAGCCGGGCCCGCCGCGGTCGCGCCCGGATGGGTGACCCGGGAGCGCGGCAGCCGCTCCGTGCGGGGACGCAGCGGGACAGGCTGGGAAAGCCGGGTTACCTGAGGGAAAACAACACCAAGAACAAACAAAATCGGCCCCACTCCCGCTGCCCCCGGCCGGCCGGCACCCCTCGCTGGCCACCGGGGCGCCGGGAATGAAGGCGCGGCCCGCAGCGCAGCCGGTGACACAGAGCAGGCAGCCCCGAGAGCCGCTGCTCAGGGGACGCTGGCAAGCACTGTTCGGGAAGGGGCAGCGTCAGCAAGGGGATGCCATGGAGGGCACAGCACGCTCCTCCCCAGCTGCTGTCCCTGGGGAGCGGACAGCGACAGGACCGTGTGCCCCGGGGCAGTTTCATGACCGCACACCGGAGGCGGCAGTGGCAGACAGCGGACGAGTCTCCCCAGCCTGGTGCTTGGGAGGTCCCAGGTGGAGGGACTCAAAGTATCAACACAAGGAGGAAAGAATGTGTTTGTCTCTTCCCAAAGAGGGGCAGCGCACGAGCCCGCGGCAGGCACGCAAGAGCTGCCAAGAGTCACCTCCAGCCCGCTGGGAACTGGGCAAGAACAGCAAACGCCTGCATCCTCTTTCTGGGAGTCCTCCAGCGACACTGAACACGCTCACGATGACCGGAGGCAGATTTTGAGCAGTGATTTCTGACGCTCGCTGTGGCTTCTGAGCAGCACACTCCTGCTACCGCCAGCCAAATGCTATTTCAAAAACCTGCCCGCACCGGGGCTCCTAAATCCTCCCCGCTGCATGGGCTTGGTGCCTCCATCCTGGGCCCTAGGGAAGGACAGCCAGGCCTCGCAGAAAGCACCTCTCTGCAGGGCACCAGGGTCCCTGTCCCACGAGCACAAGGCTGCTGCTGTCGCTCTGCTCCAGCCCCGTCTGCCTCTGACGCTCTGAGCTGGAAGCAGGGCAGCTTGCAAAGCCCAGAAAGCAGATTACATCTCTCTGGTGCTCCGGCTCTGAGCAGGAAGCAACAACCACATCAGCACTTTAAGAGGATGTTGTACCATTCGATTTGCACTTTATCGCTCAAAACAATGGGCAAGAGATCACCAGGGCTGTGGTGGAGCCAGCAGTCAGCCAGGCTCAGCCTCCCTGCGTGGGTGTGAACCAGAGGGGGCTCCTCTGCCCCCACCACCAGAAAAGAGGGACCATCTCATCCAAGTGACAATATAATTTTGTTTATTTTTCCTTTAGCACACTGCTGGTTAAACTGCCAGACAGTAGATTTCAGAACACTCCCTCAGCCAAACATCCTGGGAAAATTAAAAAATAAAACTGCTACCATGTACCAAAAATAAAATAACCCACCCTCATGCCCATCTCCCCCAAACTAGTCCCTGCAAAGCCGATGCAATCAGAAATAGGTATCTGTGCTTTTCACCTAGGGCCCAAGCTTGCTGCAAAACAAACTAAGAAAAGTCACTGCAAGTTGTTATAACACAAAACAGTGGGCAGTAAAATAAAAAATCCTCCTCAAAAACCCTTTATACTGGTGACACATACAGGTGGAGATTTCTCCTCACACTGCTTCAGCCTTTACAGACAAGTTAGACCTGCAGCTTTAAGTAGTTTGTGATGTGTCCCCGATGCCAGGGGCACAGGTCACTTCCACACATCCACAGCCAGGCACAAGGGAATGGTGGGACCATGTACCAACTGCTGCTACCCCAACAGAACCCAGCAGGAAAGCCCTGAATGCACAAAGCCCCCGAGGAAACCACAAAAATTTCAAGGCCCCACTTGCCAGCTACTGCTCCACTCCAGAACACCAGCTCAGGAACTGCCAGTGTGACAGGACAGCCGTGGTAGCACAGGAGAGCACATCCCCAGTAAGTGTGACAGGGGACAACTCCAGGGCAGAGATCCTGCATTTCCTGGATTCACACTCTTCCCAGCTAAACTGGTTCAAGCTGTGCTTTGCCCCTTGCCTTCAAATCTCCATCACAAACTCTTTAGCAAAAACCTTTGATGTTTGCAAAAGAGTATTCACATTTTCTAATCAGCCAGCACAGTTTCTAGGAGGACGGAAAGCACTTGTTCTGTTGACTTTTTTTTTTCTTTTTTAAATAAAGCACTTTTTGGGGAAAAAAAAACCAATAACCTGCAGTAGCATGCCACCAATCAGACTGGGGACAGCATCGTCACATCCCTCCCCACCCTCATCTTCCCCACAATCTCCAAAAATAGTATTTAATATACAGCAATAAACTCTGAGCAAGCCAGAGTCCCGGAAGACATGGACCTGCTTTCACCTCTCCCATCCATCCCAGCACCTTTCAATGCTACAAAACTCCTGGGTCAAATCCCTTTGGCTCCAAGGTGAATGCACGTGGCCCAGACCTGCTGGGCAGCACGAAGCAGGGTGCAGCACAGGAGGCCCATCCACGGGATCACGTTTCTGAGCCTGCACAGCTCCAGCCCGGCGTGTCTGTGCCGTTGAGAATTCTCCTGTGAGCCTGTGTGGGACCAGCCGGTGGAGCCAGACTGGTGGAGCCAGGCCGACGGTAAAATAGCATCCTTGAATTGTATTAGGCTTTGGCATTTGTTGTGGAGATGCAGAAGTGCCAGTAGGTAAATCAGCTCAGTGCTGGCCCAGTTCCCATTTCCCTTGGATTCTCAGCAAGGATATTCCCCTCCCCATCGTACGTGCAAGAAGCAGACGGATCTCTCCCACATTTGAGCACCAAACAGAGCCTGAAACACTTGGTACTTCGCAGCTGCTCAGAATCTGTCTCACACCAAGGGCTGAAGCTGCTCTCAGGGCTCTCCCTCCCGCTGTTTCCTATCAGCAACAGGCTTGTTCAGCCAGAGCTCCTGCAGCAAGACACTTCCCTGGCTGCTGCAATCCCCTTCCAACTTAAAGGCCAAGGGACAAGGCACAGTCCCTGCCCTGCTCAGACCTAAGCAGCACGGGGCAAGCCCTCAGTGAGTAAATCAGGGGTGCAGGACCCCCCAAGCCCCACTCTGCACCCAGAAGCTGGAAGTGCCAAACAGCTGCCAGGACCCAGCGTGACTCACTCAGCCCCGAGCTGCACAGACGCCCAGGCACCAGACTGTCTGGAAGTTCTCCATCCTGCCTTCAGGCCATTTCTGGGGCAGACCAGACCTGAAGGAGATCTTCAAGTTCTTCTATCCCCTGCTAGACTTTTCTTCCATTGACTTTAAGGGCTGAAAATAAAGATGCTTGCTCACAGTTCTCTACTTCAGCTGTGACCTCCAGAGCTGGTATCTGGGGACAGGGAGGCAGTCCCCATCTGATCTCAAGGGCAGGGCAGGGTCCCTTGAAGAAAAAGAAAAACTCAGAAGCTCCTTAAAAAAAAAAGAAGCTCCATCAAATAGACTTTTATTCAAAGCCTGAGACAAAGGCACCAAAAAGGGAAGGGAATTCATTTGGCTTTCTGTTCACTGCCACCTGGGACACACAAAAGGGTAAAGGTGTTTAGTCACACACAGAAGACTTCAATAGCCTGGCTTAAAGGAGGGGCTGATGGGACAATTAAAATAAGCTTGAAACCACTATGCTGAGGCTGGATCCAGGCCTGAAACATCATAGACAGTGATTTTCCCTTTATTAAATGGAAGCTTTATTAGAATTGCCATATCTGCCCCTCTCTACACAACATGAATCAAGCCAGGGTCTGTTCTGAACCAGCTCCCCACACTGCTGCACTCATCTGCCTGCTGCTGGCAGAGGAATCAGCAAAAACAGGCTTGTCTCTGACCTGTCTCAGTTAAACAATGTCTTGCATGTTCCCTCAAACACCCACTCTGGAAAGCTGCAGCCAGCCCAAACTTTTCTTTCCCCAGTCAGGACCAGGTACCTCGTTACACCCCTGATTCTGGCTTGCAGATACTAGGCAGAGATGGCCAGGGGAGCTGGAGCACTCCATTCCCAGAAAGGTGCTGGCTGGCCAGCCCCCACCAGCCTTGGGGCTCCCACATGCTTGGTTTGAAGGCTCCTTCCAAAGCAAACCTGTCAGGAGAGGATGGACCAGGAAGGAAACTGCTCATAGGACCTTAACAGGGTCAGGAACCTCCAGAAACCAGCCCTGTAGTGAGAATGATGCACAAAACCAGTCAAAACAACTAAATTGAAGCATGAAGGATGAACTGCTTCTCGTCCCTATTCTTATTCAAATAAGACAAATTCATTTGAACTGAGCAACTAGAACAAACTAGATCACAGCCTGTACAGCTCTGCCTTGGGGCAGCTGATGGCACCAAAGGGCTGCCCTGGCTGCCAGGAGAGGCCAGGATAAACTAGCCTAAAAGACTTGTCTCCAGCTTCTGCACATCTAAACACACACCCTTTCTCCCATGGTAGGCAAGGTGCTGAAATTACTGGGCGAGCCACAAGAAGTTGAGTGATTCCTTGCTTCAAGGATGCTCAAAAAAAATGCACCCTAAAAGGCCTGGAGGAGAGCAGCTCCTTAGAGAGACGCCTGCTTTCAACCCCAGGTTCTTTGCTTAACAAATCAGCACAGTTCATGGTTCTCTAAACTGATAAACATCTAAATGTCTCTTCAATCCAGTTAGAGCAATCCCAAAAACGCTGGAGAATCCCTGCAGGCACTGTCACTGAACAAATCAGAGCTCATATTTTATAATAGTTTTGTAAGTAGTAGGATTTTAACATTAGCTAGAAGATGAAGCAGACAACTTCAAGCTTACCACCTTTCATCCTAAGGTTTGTTCTTCAAGATCTGCTCTCTCTGAAGCCTGTATTCACCTTTAACTGGGACAGGGACTCTCTTCCTTCTGTCCCAAACTAGCCTTTGTGCAGTTGGAGAGAAGATAATGAAGGTCCTGCTTGTTTTTCAGCCTCACAGATACAGAATTAGGGTCAGGCCTGTAGCAGTGATGTGATCAGAAAGGCAAGGTTCAGTGGCACTGCTGCAGAAAGCAGCATTTTGTCACCTCCCCCAGCTTCCACTCTGGAGACCTGAGCTGACAGCTCCTATCACAGCTTGAGGGATAAGAGAAAGCAAAGGCTTCAGCTGTCTGGGCCCAGCAGAACAGAACAGAACAGGCTGCTCCTCCAGT